GGTTTATTTGATCAAGGTTAAAATAGATATATTGTTATCCCTGGTAACCCTTAATGGACTTTTGCTGATCAGGACTGAAAGGACAAGGTTTTAAGGATTTGTTTATAGATAAGAGATGGGACATGGGAAGAAAGATCATTTGTTGTATTTTAAGAGAAGGTGATAAGTTACTAAAATTGTTCATATTTCTTATGATGAAGGGGGAAGTAATTTCTTTATATATTTCTTTTCTTTTTCTTTACTATATTCTTATTCTTTCTTTTCTATGTTTTCTATTTTTTCCCGCACCTTCTATTTTTTCTTTTTATTCTTTTATTCCTTTTAGTTTGCATTAGTTTTTTATGTAAGTGTAATTTTGAATAAAATTACTATTAAAAAAAGTTTTTTTTTAAAGAAGGGCCTTCCTCAAAATTCTGTCTCAAACTTGGAAAAGAAATCCAGAATATTATGACGTTTGCTTTACACAACCACTATTACTTACTGTGACTCCCCCCCCCCCAAAAAAGTACTACTGAAAGATTGCCCATATTTGCTCTAACAAAATCTACTGTATATACATGGTGAAGTTCACTGTATTTGGTGAAAACAATAATTTGGGTGTGCTTTAGTGTTTTGCTGAATGGCTGGTCCTATACACTTGACAAAATGGAAGTGGTCCTCTGCTTAGATTCTTGATAATTGGGGGTTTAAAACACATGGCTAAAAACTTGTTCCTAAACCTTTCCCCAACCTGGGAGCCCTCCAGATGTGTTGACTTCATCTCTAAGAACTCTCCAGCCAGCATGACCACTGCTGAGAATTTTGAGAACTGAAGTTCAAACTTCTGGAAAGTGCCAATTGAGGGAGGGTGCATTACAGCTTGGATTTGCAATTCTATTTTGCTTTTATTCTGAAGACTTTGAGAATGGGAGAGAACTCATGTTTATGATTCTGACGGTATATTTTTTTTTTTTTTGGTGAATTCAGGTGAAAGTTAAGAATGAGAACATAGCATTTGCCATGAAATGTATTAAGAAGAAGCACATAGTGGATACCAAGCAACAGGAACATATTCACTCAGAAAAGAAAATTCTAGAAGAGGCCTGTTCACCATTCATTGTGAAGTAATTTTTAAAAAATATTTATATAAACCTATTTAAAAAAAAAAACCTCTTGCAAAAAATGACAAGGTCTGGATGTGGCATCACTATTTTTCCACACTCTTTCAGAAACCATGAATCTCATTATCACTCTTTATCCCACAACACATTGTTATCCTCTGCAATTCACTTTTAAGCTGTTTTGCTTAACAGGAAACGTTGATGATACTTTTCCCTTGCATCACCCATCGTATATAGTGGGTAACTGTGTTTAGTGGAGAACTTTTCATGGAAACTCATATACTGTACTTTAGAATCCTGATTTTTCTACATTTTCAGACATATAAAGAACTTCCGCAGGTAGAACAGTGTCTTCACTCCACCCAATTGCCCACTATTGTCCTCAACTGTGGATGGGTGGCCTGAATCTGAATGATTTTTATAATGAACTTCACGGAAGGGACAAGATTTCCCCTGAATTTCATGCAGCCCCTCAATCCTGGCATTCTACAAGGCAGTTAAAATAATCTTATTCCACCAAGTTTTTAATCCTAGGTGATTGTTTATGGATATCCACCTTGGTTGGGTTGATACATATTATGTTCTGTTTTTATGTGGTCACCCAGAGATTCCAGATTTTCGTGGGTCACAAGAATTGTTCCTACATACATACAGTGCTATAGAAATGTCATTACTGTTACGTTAGATACATTTTATTTTCAACTGAATTTGTTCTTTCTTTCCTTCTTTCTTTCTTTCTTGCTTTCTTTCTTTCTTTCTTGCTTTCTTTCTTTCTTTCTTGCTTTCTTTCTTTCTTTCTTGCTTTCTTTCTTTCTTTCTTGCTTTCTTTCTTTCTTTCTTGCTTTCTTTCTTTCTTTCTTTCTTTCTTTCTCTTTCTCTCTCTCTCTCTCTCTCTCTCTCTTTCTTTTTGCTTTGCTTCAGATTGTATCGCACGTTCAAAGACAACAAATATGTTTATATGCTCTTAGAAGCCTGTCTTGGAGGTGAACTATGGAGCATCCTCAGGGACAGGTATTATTACTACTATTTGCCCATTTTTTTCATTTTTTATATAAAGAATGGCATTATAAAAAATATAAAAATGATGAAAGCCATACAATTGTATATAATTAGAAGGCGGGAAATTTACATTATAAGAAAACAAACTTTGAAAGCATTTGGCTGATACCTTCAGTCACACGGATGATGTGTGCTCCTGAGCCATGACAGGGAGAAAATACAAACAAGCTGAAATAGTTAATGTGGGATGCCCTAAATGGAGCAAATGAGATTTTGCAAACTGTGGTCTTTTATGTAATAGATTTTTTTTTTTAAGTGAGACTGTTTGATTATTGGGAATCTGGATTGTAGATGAAACAAAGTGGTGGTCTCTCTCAATCTGCAACTTGATCCTATGCAGATTTACCTGGTAGTAAATCTAGTTGAGTGGCCCTTGGATTTATTTTATTTATAAAACATAAAATGGGTTTTTTCATTCAAAGTGACAAAAGAAAATATCAAATTATTATTATTTCAAGGTATAATAAAACACAACAGAGTACTTCATTTTTATGAACTTTTGAGAAAGAAAATGTGTGTATTTGCAAAAGCGGGTGAGTTATTTCTTTAGTGAGTATAGGAAATTCTAAGATAATGCATCTTAGGATCTGAGCTGTTAGAGACTGATCAGGAAATGGATTTTAGAGTTATGGTGAATGAAAATAACAATTCAAGTCTATGACTGCTGTAAAAAAACACAAATTCAATGCTTGGAATCATTAGGAAGGAAATAAAAAATCAATAATTCAATACAGTAATTTTCTTATATAAATCAATGGTGAGACTACATTTGGAATTCTGTGTCCATTTCTGGTCAGCAGTCCAGAAAAGCAATAATATAAATTTGGAAAAAGGGCAACCAAAATTATTATGGACTAACAAAAAAAGTCTAGAGTGTCTGGGGTTTTGTGATGGAGTTAAGGACGGCATGATACAGGTATTAAAAAATTATGCATGGTATAGAAAATGTGGATAGATTTTTCTCTCTCCCAATGTTCATCCATTAAAACTAAATGTAGGGAAATAATCAAAGAAAGTGCATGAGTAAATGACAGCATTTGCTTCCATCAAATGTTGTGATAGCCACTAATTTAAATAGTTTTAAATGAGACTGAAGAAATTAATGGAAAAATGGATTATCGGTGTCTACTAGACTTGAATGCTGAATACCAACTCCAGAATCACGGTGGCCCTCTCTTTGAGTACTGTCTACTGAGGGGTTACAGGGAAGAGGAGAAGGTTGAATGTCTGTGAAACCCCTCTTAGATTAGCATTATCAGCCTATGATGGGATCAAGTAACTTTCCAAAGGCAGTTCTCCCTCTTTACAACATTCTTCTTCTAGAGGTGCCTTTGAGGTGTCAATGCTCCTATAATTCCAGAATGCTATGAGGGTAATTTTATTTCAACAGTCCTTAGTATGATCGTGGATATCCACTGAGTTATTTTATGTATGCTTTGTTCTATTTTATGATGTTCCTGATTTTTGTTGTACCTCTTCAGAATCTACTAAGACTGTAACAGGATAAAAAAACATTGAAAATAAATAATTGGAAAATGAAAATAATCCTTCCTTCCTTCCTTCC